GCGCGCTGGGGAGGAGACGCAAATGGTTGCTTTGTCAGTGTGGAAAAAAAAATGATGGAGGGATGTGTTAGAAAGTTTGTGTTTAGGCAAGCGATCATACAAACAGGCGAAATATCTTGGTTCCGACATATTTTAACAATTTGACGGATCCAAAGCGAGTCCATACGCTGAAAAGTCACTGTTGTACCCAAGTCTGTGCAAATTGAACCCTGTTTTGCAAGGTTCATATTCCTTACACTTGTAGAGGAAAAAACTGTGGATTTGTAATAACAGCCTGTAGTAAATGGACTGGACTGTAGGTTTTTGTGGAATGGTGCTGATGATAAGGTTGTGTGAAAGTGGGCTGGACTCCATAGTAGTGAGTTCATGTCAAGCTCGATGGCTGTCACTATGAGATGTTCGTTCTTGAGGTGCCTATGTGTGCGTGCGTGCTTTGGTTTGTTTGTGTGTGTGTTAATTTGTTTGTTTGTCAGTGAGGCACACTTATCTGTTGGGTGTGTGAGCACACAAGAATGTGAATGTAAGAAGTGTGAGCTTTTTGACGTTGCACTCTCTTTTGAAAAGAGGGTAAGTCAAAGGCTGAGAGGTTCCAATGGTGATCAGTGGGATGGAGGGAGGGTGGGGATGGGAGTTGAAGGAGCTTAGAGAGGTGGGGACTTGGGGAGAAGCATAGAGAGGTGATGGGATTAGGAGGAACGGGAGGAAATCAAAGGAAAGGATTCGATGAGGGGAGAATTTAGAGCACGGGGACAAAGACGGTGACAGTGACAATGACAGTGACAGAGACAAAATGACAGTTACAATGACAGTGACAGTGATGACAGTGACAACAACAGTGACAATGACAACGACAGTGACAGTGACAATGACAATGACAAAGACAGTGACAGTGACAGTGACAGTGACAATGACAGTGACAATGACAATCTTTATTCATCTCACAGGGAGAAATTTGTCTTGGCCTTTTGCAATAGCAGTGGATGTTACAAAGGTTAGGTGCATTCACACATATACGCACAACAAGACAGGACATTAGGGCGATGTTAAGAGAAAGAGGACAGGGGGATGGGACAAATGGGTGGGAAATGAATTAACAAAAGTACTAATAAAAGATGTAGGAAATGTATCGGATAGACATGGAATCTGTGTCCGTACAAGTATTTGAGTTCGTTCTAGAACTGAGAGAGTTATTTCAACGAGGATAGTGGTTATTGGCTGTGGGGCCTCAAGTCGCCATTACCACTGCTGTTATTCCCTTTAACCCTGTGTCCTTTTGGCTAATCCTAAATTGAATAAAGATAATGGTTTGTGTATGAAAAGGGAATCAATCAATATTTTTGGGACAAAAGAATCTTTTTGTACTCACACTTGTTTTTTAAAATTTTTAGTTCATATTATGGTGATGTATTGCGTGTGACTTAATTTTTCTGATAGAAAGCAGGGTGTTAGAAAGTGGGGTGGGGGTGGGGGGGCTTCTCTTCTGTTAAATAAATTTTGTTTTCAGTAGATGGAAAACATTACTTCCTCCCTGATTGATTTGATTGACATACACCATTGTGATGAATGTCTAGCTTTGCTCTTTGTTTTAGTTTTGTCATATGTAGCGAGATTTACATACTATTTAATATGAGTCATTTGTATACCTCATTTTTTCCCTTTCTCTGCACACATTATGGTGCAATTTTGTATGACTTGTGTGTGTGTGTGTGTGCGCGCGCGCTTGAGTGTTAGATATATGAAATAAAGCTATTATTTGAATTTAAGTTATTCTGTTGTACCCCTCCTCTGCACACATTATGGTGCAATTTTGTATGACTTGTGTGTGTGTGTGTGTGCGCGCGCGCTTGAGTGTTAGATATATGAAATAAAGCTATTATTTGAATTTAAGTTATTCTGTTGTACCCCTCCTCTGCACACATTATGGTGCGTATTTGTATGGCTTGTGTGTGTGGTGTGTGTGTGTGTGTGGTGTGTCTGTGTGTGAGATATATGAGATATAGATGTATGAAATATAGCTATTATTTGAATTTAAGTTATTCTGTTGCACCTGAAGTCGAGATGCATTCTCTAAGATTACCCCACTTGTTTTTTTTGTCCATTTTACATTGTCTTACGCAAGACTTGAAGTTTTATTGAAATTTGAGATGAACTTATAGAAGAGTCCCGTGTTAGAAAAATTCTCAGGAATTGCTGACCTATTTATGATACTTACGAAGAGCAGGCTGGATTACTTGTGACAAGCATCGAAGATCACCATCACTTGTGATGCAATGATTCCTTTTTTTTATATATTTTTTTAAAATTGGGGCATGCAAAAGATGCAGGTTTGTTTTCCAAGTGAGGAACATGTAACTTCCTCTTTCTGCTGCTTTGATGTATCCCTCCCTCTCAGCCAGGGTTGGTCCTGACAGGCAGTGCCAAATTGGCCCATCCCTAAACATTTTCTTAAGTGTTTGGAAGTGGGCTTAAAATGTTTACAGTAATTCAGTGCTTCCACTCTTCCGTATTTTTATTTTCTGCCAGTTCCGTACTTGTTCCTCCATCATTATCAACTCCCTCCGTAAAAAAAATGCGACAGCGCAGGACTGCCGAAATTCCGTACTCGCCGCCATATTGTCTTGTATAAGTGATGGATATTTATGGTAATTCTCTCGGCAATACGTTAGAATTATAGAAACCTGCCAAATTGCGCATTTCCTGCCATCGGCCATTATACCGCTATGTCCCAGTCCCATGCATTAATTGCGGGTTGCTCGGCTGTACATTTTTTACCTGCAGATGGATCAAAATCTGGCGAACCTTTTGTGCCAATTTCCTCCTTTCAGTCGTTCACTCATTCCTTCTGTCTATCTTCGGATTGTTGCCGCGGCTGGAAAATCTGCGCGTTGATCAAGAAATTGACTTGTGAACTTAGACAGAAAATTACTTTCGGAAAGAACCTCTTTTCGCAAATTTGTCTAGATCTAGAAAAAATATTAATGCGAAGATTCTACGGCACGTGAACGCAATATAAGGGCCGCTATGAAAGAAATATATATGCTGATATGGGCGTGCACTACGGATGGGATCGGCCGATCGCGCTGATCGCCCTACTCTGTCGCACAAACGTGTTTGCTTTTAGTTTCAGGCGATCGAGTCGCTTTTAAACATTTCCAGCAATGGAACGATATGTTGGTGAAAAAATAAATGTTATGGGCTGTAGGCAATATCTTCAAACAGGCTCCCAAGTGCCATTTTCTACCCTCTGAAAGCACTAAATTTCAATTTCTTCGGGGGCACCCCCACCGGGACGCTGTCCCTGGACCCAGACCCCCCTGCAGAATTTTCCTTACTTTTCAGCTTCGGCTGGTGGAAGCACTGGTTATTGCAAACGTCGGTTGGTGTGTGAATTTTCCTGTAGTTCTGTTCTCGTTGGTTTAGTTTACTGCGACAGCGTTAATTCAGGGGCGGTGGGCGCCTGGGACGGTTTGTGCCGGATGAAGTTGAGATTGGGACACGCTTCTTTTGGGATGTTGTGGATGAAGTCATGATATTTAATGTTGACCTAAATTACTACTGTTTGATATGGTTTTTCGAATTTAAAAAAAAAAAAAAAAAGAATATTTCAGATTTAGTGTCCAAGCTGAAAATGAAATTCACAAAGAAATTTCATATATTAAGATGGTGAGAGATGTGTATGTCATTATGATGTTAGGGTATAGCCT